AACAAGACCTCTGTGTCTAGGTCGCTCAGAAGCATCGCTTAGAACGCTTTAAGGGACCCCTTCTACTTAAGGGCTCATGGGACTTAGTAATTAGCGTTATAAATAAGGTAACTATATTTATAACCCCAATTAGGGTACTTATAACTGTATTTATTACGTCCCATGAACCTCCAAGTAGGAAGGTTTGAGGGCTTGAGGCGTTAGGTTTTGAGATTGCAGAGTACGAGCTTTGAGGGAATCAGGCCCAACAAAGATTTGCAGCTAGGGGCACAGGCAAAATCCATAGGGGTCCGAGGCCCTATCACCCCCCCAAAACCGCACAGCCCCTAAAAACCCATCTCTGGGAGCACCGACAAAGGGGTTGCCGAGTTGGTATCCAGTCTCGGATTCCTCGCAGACGGCCACCTGCAGGGATTCAGTTCTTTGTTGGGGGGTTTAGGGTTAAGGCTTGGGGGGCGTTAGTGGAAGGATCCCAAGCAAGAAACTTAAGTGATTCACCCAAGAAATTGCAATGGAGAGTAGAGGTACCCAAAACCCTGAAACCCCAAAGCGCCGTGAGGTATTCGGAGGTTCAGGGGTCACAGGGATGACGTACAAATTCTGACAAAGGTTTGGAGGGCTTCTATACTGTACATCTGGTAGGAAACACAAAGAAGATGCATGATAATCCTTCAGGCCCCCTGAATACCCTAAATCCTAAACCCTGAACCCTAAATCCTAAACCCTAAACCCTAAATCCCAAACCCTAAACCCTAAACCCTAGATCCTAAACCCGAAAATCTAAACCCTAAACCCTAAACCCCAAGTATCAGGGCTCGTGTCCTGGTGCCCGAGGGCTCAGAGTCCAGCATTCAGGGTTTGGGGACTCGGCTGGCGTCTGTAACTTACAAAGACAGCCCTGACCCCCGGGAGGATCCAAAAAGGGTGTCTCTTTAAAGGGATCTTTTGGAGTCTATAGGGATTTTAGGGGACTTATAGGTGGGATTATAGGGCTTTGGGAGTAGATCCCTTAAAGGGGCTTAAGGGGTGTTCCCATGAAGTACCCTGTAGTAGTATAGGGTCCCAAACCCTAAACCCTAAAACCCTAAACCCTAAACCCTAAACCCTAAACCCTAAACCCTAAACCCTAAACCCTAAACCCTAACCGATCTACTTTTTAGATCCTCCCGGGGGTCTGGGAGCCCGAAGCCGAATTCCCAAGCACCAAAGGACTGAACTACAAATCGATCCTGGTGGCTTTGCCCTTTAGGGTTTAGGGTTTAGGGTTTAGGGTTTAGGGTTTAGGGTTTAGGGTGTAGGGGCCTTAATAATTAGAATAGGGCTTTGGGGTATATTGCAGTCTACTTAGAATAAGGAACCCCCCCCAAAAAAAATATTGAACTCTACGTAGAATAAGAAACCCCCCCAACAAAAAACAAGTATTGGCAATTATTTAGGCCCCTATAGTAAACTCCATGGGTCTGCCTCTGGAGCCTGAACCCTCGAAATAAGTTTTAGGGTTTGCGGCTTCGGGTTTGGGGTTTAAGAGCTTAGGGTTTGGGGTTTAGGGTTTGGGGCTTAGGGTTTGGGGTTCAGGGGTTTAGGGTTTGGGGTTTGGGGCTCAGGGTTTGGGGTTTAGGGGTTTAGGGAGCGCATGAAGCCAATCTCTGCTCATGATTAGATGTAGTGTGGGGTCCTGTTGAAGTCCAGAGTGGAGGATGTCTCAGCTAGTGCATCTCTGCACAACAGTTCCTTGAACCCAAAACCCTAAACCCTAAACCCAAAGCCCAAACCCCAAAAGCCTGAAGCCCTAAACCCCAAACTGAATTCGCAGGGCCTTGAGCATCTTTGCGCAGTGGGACGTAAAAGAGCACCCGCGGCAGATATGAATCCTCTCAGCACGGCACCGTCTCCAAAGGTTTGTTAAACCTAATAAAATTGGGCTCAGATTTCGGGTTTAGGGTGTAGGGATTGATTAGGGTGAAAGTTTCGGAGTTATCATTTGCTTCTTATTCTTAGGGCTATGGGTGTAGGCTTCGTGTTAGGGTTTAGGCTAAGGTTTGGGGGTGCTCTACGTAGAGTGTCCAGGCCTCGTTTTGTGATCCTCACCTGGAGCCCTTAACCCCAATCAGATGCAAAAACCCCAGACCCTAAACTCTAAATCCCTAAAGCCCTAAGCCCCAAAACCGATTCAGGGTTTACGGTTGGTTTAGGGTTTGGGGCTTGGGGTTGCAAGCCCTAAACCCTAAACCCTCCCGTCCAGAGCCCTCTGGGCCGGCTCCTCATGTGCCTCAAGGGGTCCAAGGTGGTCCACAGAGACGTATCGTGGGCAACTTCTGATGCCTGTCAAAGCGGTCCGCGTTACTTGTTGCGTAGCATTGCAGTATAGATACGTAAAGGTACCCTTACCCTTAGCATCAAAATAGCCCAAAAGCCTTTCATAATAGGGTCTTTGGGCCCAAAAGCCTTAAAATATGAGTCCCTTGATGGTAAGGGTTAGGAATAATGTTGGTACTTGTTCCGGCTTCTAGATGAGCTGAGGTTTCTTCGGGGGTCGAAGCTTCAGGGTACAGAGACTCAAACCTTTCGGGTATGGCTCTGACGGCCCATGATCGAAGAGCTGCCTCGCCCACGGTTTAGAGTTTAGGGTTTAGGGTTTCCGAAGAAGTAGGTAGTACTTAGACGACTGCTACAGTACTACTGCCACTGACACGACCACCGGACTTGGGTGTATGACTTATGACCCAAGGTCTAGCCAACTCTGATCCCTAAACCCGAACTCCTAAACCCTA